ATCAAATGAGAATTTTAAAGGAAGCAGAGGTGGTTCCTGAAGGGGTTGTTGCTATGCAAACTGTTCACTGCGGGTAAACTTCCCCGAAAGGCCAGAAATGGATTACCAGAAAAAAAAAGCTTGGGGGAAAGGCAGGACAGTGCGGGAGAGGATGCAGGCCAGGGACATGGACGCCATGGTCACTGGCAGGGTGACCCCAGACACGTGGCAGGAACATTATGCCAAGGCCTTGCCCGAGTTTCCCTCTCCAGGCAAGCTACGCGTTTGTAACTAGGACTCCAGCCCCTGATGGCAAAAATGGGGAAATTAGAGGGAGATGTGCGAACGCCTGTCACAGAAAGGCCTGCCCACCCGTGTCATTGAGTCATTCGGGCTCATCTGTAGGTCTGGGGTGAAGATATTGGGCGGGGGGCTCTGACTGCCTCTGGGCACAAGGCCATCGTCCACTTCCTGAGCCTGCCAGGATGACAGCCAAGCTAGGTTCACGGCAATTTCCCTGAAGTAATGTCACCCTGTGAGGCCACCTGCTGGTGGCCTTTCGGTGGCAATACCTGTGAACTTTGTTCAAATGTCATCTCCAGCTACCTAACCTTTGCAAAGTTAGGTTTTCCTGAAATATGCATGCAATGTCTAAATAGCAGAGCAATATCACGATCCATCTTTTTAAAAAATCTCTTCCCTGAGCGATTTCAGCCAAATGTGAATGGCTCCCTTCCCTGAATAAAAGCTGGGGCGCAGCCAAGCACAGCCTCTAGGAGCCCCAAGGGATCAGGCAGGAGAGTTCCCAGGGCCTCTCTGATGCATCGAAACATTAATTAGATCAGAACCAAATCTCGGAAGGGGCTTGGTACAAACGAAGATCGGAGGGAGGACAAGTTGGAGAATTCTAAATCTCCCAGTAATATATTTTGGGGGGGAAACTGTTTAACTTAACTAGACATTGGGCTGAGCCTAGAGATGTTACATCAGTGACAAAGGGCCCTCCACCCCAAGCCAGTCACCACCTCCTGCCCTTGAACCTGTCCCAGACTGTTAGATGTGGCATCGGGAAAACGAAAGAAAGTCAGATGAGCCCTTTGGCAGCCTGGTAAGCAGCTGTTAGTTAAAGTGGCCAAAGCTTGGGATTTCAATTCCATTCTGCCATGACATTCTTTCAGGGCAGTTGGCAAAATTGGGGTTGGGGTTTTGCTCAATCTCAGGCAGTCAAATGAAAAATCTTTACTATAGGAGGGCCACCCTGGGCCCTACAGACACCTGTTTCTTCATGACGCAAACCTGAAGAGGTACAATTATGACCATTCCCATTTCTGGTGGCTTTTCGTCCATGACAGTGGCAAATTCTATATCCTTTCCCAGTGACTGCCTGCCACCCTCGTGCCAGCAATGGTAAATAGGAGGAAACCGGTCCACATGTCTAACACCCTCAGGGACCTTGATTCCAGGTCACTGCAGTCCCCGGGGGGCCTCAGTGTCCAGTCACCACCTCGCACTGACTTCCTGCCAAAGAAGAGCCTCTCTGCTCATTAATGACTTTTCAGGAAAGATCAATACCTGCCCTATCAGGAGCTCCCAGAGCGGCCGCCACTCCATTCATCACTGTCTGCTGTGTGATGTGGCTCCCAGGATAGAGCTCCACTTTCTAAGTGCTCATTTCCTGTTGGCACCGAGGGGTCTGGCCTTTGTCAGAGGGACCAGGGTTTGCGGACTGGAAAGGATCCAATTGTGACTGATCAATCTCACCTTTGGATCACCAAGGCGTGGCGCACAGAAAACAGAAAAACCCTGCAGCGTGAGCCAAATGCACCGGAGCTGTCGAACTGGCAAACGCCACGTGGAGACCCAGAAACAAAGAGTCCAGCTCAGTGGGCTTGGCTTTGCTTTTTCCAGCCTGGGACCACTTACTATCCTTTTCTGAACAGGCCGTGTGATCTCAGGAGGGAAAGCACTGCGGGACTCACTCTAGCATTCGTGTCATCATGATTGTGTCTTTGCGTGATGCCTTCCCGCCCGGGCAGGCAAAGGCTGGGGGACCCAGGACAGCACCTACTCGTCACTCCAGGCTCCCGTCCACTCCACTTCGCCCCACGGATTCCTGAGTCTGATCAGCTTCTCTGGGCGGCCACAGAAATCCACCTGCAAGGTCCACGTGCACAAAATCAATGGCAAGCGTGGCCTCCTGCCACCCTGCATTCGTGTCTGCATATCAGATTTTCACTCCGTGTTTCAAAAGTCCCCAAATAACCACGCTTTTATTTGCTTTTCGCATGTGTTTTCAGGCCTTGGTTAACTGCACTATTTGTCACAATTTGGTTGAGTCAATAGTGGATCCAGCACAAAAACAGGTTTATGTCTGCTCTAACTTGGGTTTAGATTTTATGGTTGACTCAGTTCTTAATATATGAGACCGAATGGTAATAGACGCCTTCCCAATAAATACTCAGAGCCCAGCAGTTAGCATTTGTGGAGCCTGTGCTATGGACTAGGCACGGTGCTCAGCATTTCAGATACGTTCTCCCCTCATTTAAACCTCAACACGATCCTGTGAGCTGGGTCAGTTATTATGTTCATTTTAAAAGTGAAGACTAAGTTGAAAAGTCGAAGACTCAAAAAGGTTAAGTTAGCCTCGATTACCTAGTTACTAAGAGGTAAATGGAGGCCGGGCACCCAGGGAGGCCGTCTCCAAAGCCCTTACTCATAAATCCATGCATACACCCTCCCCTTCCTATTTACTGGGCAGACACTATGGGCCCCACACAAACACCATGAACTGTGGGGTCTTCAGTGTCTTACTTCCCTTTATCATCTCATGTCATGCCCTAGCCCAATGTTTACACTTATTCCTATCTGGGGACTGACTTGATTAAAGAACATATTCTTGAAACACAAACACATGCAATGAACATCCATGCCATTTTAATAAATCACAAGAGCCGAGACACCCACTCATTTCCCTTTTTGCCTTGGCCATCGGGAAACCCAGAGCGAAATTAACTTCTCAGTCGTTGCACTGCTTTCAGCCTGGATTTTAGCCCAGATTGTCTGGTGTATTTTACCTTAGTTGCATGGTCTTGCTACATCTATGCTTTTCATTGCAGACCACATCAAATCCTTTTTGGGTACAGGCAGAATATAGTAAATAAATATAATGAGAATTATAGGCCACACTCTCCCCTTGGGTTGGAGAGTGAAGAATACCTGCGTTTCTTCCCGTTATCATATCCCATCCGGACAGCCGGGCAGGTATCACTGCCTTTGTTCTTTCTGGGGAATCTATGAGTTTCTACTGCTTGACCTGCACAAACACTTCTTGGAATAAGCTTAGAATCTAACTGACAATTTCTACAACTTTCTTCCTGATCGCATCTCGGAGGAGAGCCTGGGTTTAGTTAGAGCCCACCGAGCCCTAGCTCAGGAAGGCTGCATTTCCCCACCTCCGAGTGGGCCAGAGGCAGAGGGGCCCGTGCAACAAGCAAGAGCTGACCCCACATGTGTGGTGTCAGGGGCCCTGCGCAGCCAGAGAGAGACCTCAGCCAGGCGATCCCCTCTCTCTTTCTCTCCAGGGGTGGCCTGGACTTACGGCCACATATTGATTTATAACCCTCGCGCTCCCCCTGCCCGACTTTACCTCCTCCACGCCAGTGACAGAGTACGCGTGACTCTTAACCAGCTTCTGGCTGGTGATGATTTCTGTCTCGGCCCCGCTGGAGACCTGCATTGAGAATAAAGTCCGCTCAGGGTGGACCACTCCGGGTGGCCACCCCTGACCCTCTTGGGGCTGGTCCTACAGAGCTTTCCAAGGACACGCTGCACAGCCATGGGCTCTGCTCTGGTCCCCTGTCCAGTCCCTTCCCTACCGCACGTGGGCAGGGGAGCTCACATCAATGGAACAGGCCAGCAGGGACCCCGCGCGGAGGGCCTTCCGGATGATCTGAAACAGACTGGTCGGTGGGTTCTTCAGGTCAAAAAACTCAGAGATGCCACCCGTGAAATCCTCAAACCCCTCCACTGTGGACCCTCCAGCGAGAGCCTCGTAGGACCCGTTGAGCCTGTTGAAAAAGAAAGAAGACCTGCACACTCCACAGCCATGAGCAACCCCAGGGAGGGGGCCTCGTGGGTGGGGGGCAGGGACAATGCTAGGACATGGTGTGGTCTGAAGGTGAAAGAGGAGCTTTCGCCGATCTTGCTGTGGCCCGGGAAGGTGCTGAGGCCGCAGTTTCACGTGGCCAACTCAGCACTTGTCCAGGAACGAATCTCAGGCCACCTCCCCCCAGGCCACCCACTCCTAGAAAAAAAACAAGGTGTAACCTTTCCAGAGCTCACCCTCGCTTCTTGGGTTTCTGAGTGTTGGGGGGCATGAATAGATTGGGGGACCCTCCCTCAAGGCATCCCCTGGGACCTGCTGTAGGAACGGGGCTGGAAAGGAACTGGGGTTACAAAAAAGGGTGCCTGTCAATGAAATTAATTGAAAGAACCCAAAAGAAGGCCTTGAACGTGGAATGCCAGGGAGGAGGGCTCTTGAACCAACAGTCAATAGACGCTTGAGTTTGGTACCTGAGTACATGTGATTTCTTATCACTCATTTCAAAATTCACATGGGCCTAAGAACTGCCCTTGGGGTTTCAGAGAAGAGAAAGCCGAGTGGCTGAGTGGCTAAGGGGCTTGTCCCCATTCACACGTTCATGTGGGACAGAGCTGAGCTTGCCAACTCCTGGCCCCAGTTTCTGTTCCTCCTAGTTACTGAGGGATACAGAGCATGGGGTCCAGGTGCTGGGGAAGACTTGGGATGACACCCTGAGTTTGGGGGTAGGGGGTAGGTGAGATACTCCAGGAAGACTGTGGGGCCTCCCAGCTCCTAAGCACCCCACTTACTTGGCGTAGGCCTTCTCCAGCAGCGCGCTCCAGAACTCGCTGCCTTCCTCGGAGTGCAGGAAGAGCAGCTTCCCGTCCTTGGTGGGCAGCCTGTCGTCCACCACGACCTCCACCCACTCGCCGTATTGCCAGAACTGCGGTGGGAAAGCAGGCGGCTGCTCCAGGGAACAGCTGGCGGGTGGAGCGAGTCTCTCCGGGGGACCCGGGAAGGAGCCTCCGTGATGGTCAATGTTCAGGTCTTGGACCTTTAGTGAGTGCCCAGCTCCTTGAGAGCAGGATCTGGGTCTTAAGCATCTGTGCACGTGGCAGATGCCAAAGAAGTCGGGAGGCATCGGGTCTAGTGTCTGAGTTCGTGGTGACAGTGTGTGACTCGGACCCGCGTCTCCTGACACTCACTCCCAAGCACTTTCCTTAAGGCCGTGAGGCCTGGAGGAGACGTAAGGGGTGGATGCCTGGGTGACTGGGTGGATGCATTAAAGCTGGGGTTCTCACCCAGCTGGGGTGGCTCCGTTGGTTGAGTGTCACCCCAGGCACCAAGAGGTGGCCAGTTGGATTCCCGGTCAGGGCACAGGCCCGGCTTGTGGGCTCGATCCCCAGTAGGGGGCATGCAGGAGGCAGCCAACTGATGTTTTTCTATCTCTCCCTTCCTCTCTCTATAAAATCAATTAAAAAAAAATTTTTTTTTAAAGCCGTGGTTTTAAAACTGTTAAAACATAGGATACTGGACCCCAACCCAAGAGCTTCTGAGTCGGTAGATCTGAGTGGGACCCGAGAGTATGGAAAGTAGTGTCAAGGGCAACGCGCGATACCTGAAAATGAAAGATCCCCGCGTAGTTCTTCTGGAAGTTCTGGTCCCTGGGCACCACCCGGTAGAGCAGCTGTTCGTTCAGGGTGAGGGAGGCGATGGCCGCCAGAAGCCAGCAGTCACCTGCACCGGGTCATGGGGGCACAGGGGTCAGGCCAGGCCTGCAGGGTCCCTGCCCTCTCGGACCCTCACACCACTCCTTTCTAAGTCAGACAGTCAGACTCCCTCTTCCTCCTGTGTCTCAAGGTCACGGGCAACAGTCAGCTCCTGCTGCCTCATTGGAAGTCATGTGCTCGGATCAAAAATGTCCCTGGTCCTCCCTGTCGCCCCCTGAATGTGACCATTTCACGTCTCCAAAGCCCTCATCCAGTGGAAAACGATGGAAAGAGAAAAAACCCCAAATCACGCAGTCGTGGGTTTTGTTGCTTCTCACTAAGGAAGACTCAAGGGCGGGGTAGTATCTCATTAAAAACGACTCCCGAAGAGTAAATGAGGCACCAGAATGTCCTTCCTCTCCCTCTGGTCTTCTTTCCGTCAACGCCTGCGATCAGGGATTCCTCTGCTGAAACCCTCACCTTCCTCCGCTGCTTATGAATGAAATAAAATCTAACAGGACGTGACGCCCCCCACAATATGCCTGCACCCCAGCCTTTCCCCATCGTAACCCTGCGGGAAGCTGATGCCAATGAGACGCCCGCGTGCGGGGAGCCTGCCCTGGTCTTTCCCACTCGGCTGCGCTTTTGCTCACTTGCTCCCTCTGCTGGTGGCATTCTCCCAGCGACACCACCTGCTGCACCCCCCCAAACCCTCCCTGACGCCTCCCACTCTCCAGCTGCAAGTCGCCTCTTTTTCTTTGTGTCTCCTAGAGACTTTAGCTACACTTCTGTGTGCGCTGCTCACAAGCTGCCTCAGATCACAGTCAGCAACCAGATTGGACTCGAAACTCCCTTTATGCATCAGGTACTTGGCAGAGCTTTCCTGACCCCTCCCCTGGCCTGCCGGGGGGGCCCCCTATACGCTCCCTTCTCAGAGCCCCCAGCACCTTTCCGAGCCCCCTGAGCATGGCTGTCTCTCCCTCCCCCATTCCTCTCCCATCTCTTCCCGCACAGCAAGGGTGTGGATCCTTTCATCCCAGCATCCTTAGCAGGTGGCTGCCACCTAGTAGGGGCCCCATGAATGTTTGATGAATAAAAATAAATAGGCAAATGACCCAGTGAATCAATGAGCCATATTTTTGTTCCTGTACAAAGCCCCAACAGCACCTGACATAGTTTGCATCTGACTCTGGCTGGCATGCGGGGGAAGTGGAGCCCAGCCAGGATATGCGTGATGCTGACAAATCCCACCTCCGCCACCAGCAGGGGCCTTTGCCTTCAGAGCTCGGGGCAGAGGGAGATGACAAGGGAAGACAATCAGAGACACAGGCCCCTGGGGAGTGGATGGGCCACTGCTCTGCGACCCTCTCTGAGGCAGGTGGCCTCACACACACGGAGATCAGAGCAGCCACGCAGCTCTTGTGACTGGGCACCACCTGCCTGTCTTCTGATATGGAAGTTTTGCTCTCAGCCTGAGCTGCTTCCAACAGCCCACCCAGAACATTCCTTAGACATTGTGATGCAAGGCATGCAAACCCAAGTCCCTCGGCTGCTGGTGTGAAATGAGGCTGCCCACCTGGAGGAGAGGTTCGTTTTCTCTTCATCTGCCTCAGTCCTGACATTCACGGGCCCACCTGGCTGTCACGGCGGTCACAGAGCTCCGAGGAGGAGCAGTGGGCGTGAGGGCTCTTGGATCCCTGCCAGTGACTGTACAAGGTGCGAATGGATTGTCATGACAAATACGCTTTTTCTAGGGAACACGTCCAAACGAGTGTGTTCCCCTTCAAAGAGTTCTCCTGGGAGAATAAACATTTATTCTGTTGCTTAAATATTTCAGGGGCTTGTTTGGGGGAACTGCCTTGGAGCCTGTGACATATTGCTAGGGTTTTTCTCGGTGGGGACGCAGCTTGGATCGTGGAGCATAGTTTTAATTTTCAAAAGCAGCCAAGAGGCTTTGTATCCAAGGCTGACATCCATCCACATGGTGAGGTACAAAGTGGCCCTTCCCTGTTGGTGCTGGGGCAGGTTGTCAGATGCCCCCTCCAAAAACGACTGAAAATGGTCTGGCACTCCCAAATCCGACCTGGGGATCCTGACACTTCCCAATGAACATGTGGGCACTCAGAGGGCATCAAATATTAAGCACAGGGTAATGGAGGGTCTCCATGGCAACATGAGGGTGGCCTCCTAGCCTCAAACATACAGGGTGTCCCCCCAAAATGTAAACTTAACAGCTGATAGCTCAGTCAATGTTTCTTTCTTTTCAGATTTAATCCATTGGAATTAATAATTATTCAGAGTGTGCATACATTTTGGGGGGACACCCTGTATTAAGAGATGAGCTGACTTGAACTCAGATGTAAAAATGCCTGGGAGCCCAGTGGGGTGGGGTGGGGTGGACTGAAAACAAGGTGTTTTAGATGCAGAAAAACCCCTGTGTACAGTGCCTAAGAGCAAAAACATGCGAAAGGAGACAGGAAGGAAGCAAGAGTCAGGGAGAGGGCACCCTGGCCAGGTCGGTGGGCAGGCAACCACAGAGAAAGCCATTTCAACCAGCAGCCAGTGCAGGTGTGGCTGGGGCTCATCGACAACAAAAACCAAATTTCTCCAAAGACCAAAGGAGGGATGCCCAACAGCAATTCAGTGCAGATCAGAAGGTGAAACAGAGGACTGGAACGCAGAAAGGCCAAAGGGTCAGCGCCGTAAGTCAGGCCCAGCAGGGCTGGTGTAGACTGGAGGGGGTGAACCAGTCACAGCTGGCTCTCAGGTCTATTCCATTTGGCTTGTGTGGTGCCGCCTGCCTAGTGATTGATGTATATAACATAGTAAGGTTTGTGCTCCTTTTTCAATGTCCTATATAAAAGATTCGAAGTTGAGCCTAATAAACAACATAATAGAAGGTAGTGATGAGTAGAAGAGCTGTTCTGAGATATTTGCAAAAACTGCAATGTGATGGGAAAATAATTTGTGATTTCTATTACTGTGCTTTGTTACCTGCATTCATGACAAAAGGAAATAAGTTAGTGAGGGGTAGGGTAAGTAAGGATGTAACAGTAGAATTCTTTCATGCTCTTCTTAAAACAGTGCTCATAACCCACTGGCTCAAATTCATACTAAAGTGTAAATGGTTGTCTTGGGCCCTTCCCTCATAGGAGACAGGACAGTGGTGATAGTGGGGTTGAACCTGAGGGCACTGAGCACTAGGAATCAAGATAGAGAGAAAATATATGCCATTAAGAAGGGGGACCCTGACAAGGGCCTTATCCTTAAGGCCCTGTTAGCAAAAGCAAACTTGCTCCATATGGCATGTGACAGGGCAGCAAGGAACTGTCATCTGCTGTCTTTCTGCTTCCTAGAAGTCGGACCCTGTGCTTTCCAGATTCAAACAGTGGGTCTGGCCCTGTAAGTTGGCTAAAGCTTCCCCTGATTACTCACTCATTTAAAGTAACCATTCAGTCCTAGTGAATTGATTTACTTTGCAACAGCCCTTGAAGGAAGCCACAGATCAAAGGGTTCTAGAAGAGAGCTTTGGAAGACGCTGACACCAGTCCTGACTGCAGAGAGCGGTGTGCACAGGGCCCCTGTTCCTGTCTGGGAGGGGGGCGCTGACTCAGAGGAAAATCAACGGCCACCTGAATTTAAATCTTCATTGTTAGTTCTTTATCTTTAGAGACCTTTGAAATGGGCCAGTCATTCCCTTTTCAAAACTAGAATAAAGAATCTAAAACCCAGTTTACTAAAGACAGCAAAGATGAGAAAGGCATCAAGTCTACAGGGGTGAAGAGAGAAATCGGGTCAAGACAGAAAGGAGGGTGGAAGAGATAAGCACATGGGAGCACAAAGCACAGAGATACAATAAGACAGAGGGAAAGATACGGGGGGAGGCGGGGTAGAGAGAAACCCCAGCACTCACCAGACCCTTCGAAGGAAAGCTTATCTCACGGCTAATCCTGTGCGGTGTGGAAAACAAACCACCACTAGATCAGAAGTTCGGATAAACACAGTAGCATTTGTTACTCAGAGAGCCCTCTCGTTTCTCTCCAGATTCTGGAAGGCTCTCTCTGTTCCTCATCTGCTCAAGAAGGAAACCTTCTCCCCAGTCCTGCAAGCAGCAGGCGTCCGAGTTCGTTTTCCGGAGACCAAGGTCTTGGATGGTTGGAGACTGACATCCTTTAGGCCCATTTGCACCTAAAGCGGTTTCCGGTCCTGACGCATTTGTACAACCAGAGGCCTAACTAATGCCCCCCTGGGTGTTTCCCCGCAGGTGGAGGGACAGCACGGCCACGACTTGCTGTGTGCGGTGCACGAAGCCAGAAACGTGTATTTCACGCACGGGACAGAGTCTGCTTCACTGGCTACAGAGGCCTCAGGAAGTCTGGGAACATGCACAGGCCAATGTGCCAGGGAGACACAGAATGACAGTTGCTATTAGAAAGGTGTCACTCTCATTATATAGACCAACTGATAAAAAATAATAATAATAATTTTTTAACCTAAAAATAATAATAATTTTTTTATCCTAGAGTAGACCCACCGCGCTGCGTTGTGCACTCAAAAGCCAACAAGCATTTAACAAACATTAACCCACATCGCACCCCGATTCAACAAGCAGCGCATAGCGCCGCCCTGAGCTTCGGTGAGGGGCCTCCTCCTAATCTGGCCACAGCCCATGTGGTTCGGGGCCAGCCCTGGCTCGGATCTCACAGCCACACAGGTGGTTGCGACTCAGCCACCGGCTTCCACCGGGCACAGTGAGGCACCGGCTTTCTCCCTGTTCAGGCTCCTTCTGGTTGACAGGCACTTAGGACCGTCCCAAGAGCCTGGGCCCTTTGGAAAGTCGGACTCAACAGCCCCTTCCCAGTCCATTCATTGAAAACCACCACCTCAGAGCACAGCAGGGAGTAACATTGTGGTAACTATGTACAGTGCCAGGTGGGTACCAGGCATATCCCGGATCACTTCATAAGTTGCACAAATGTCTAACCATTTACACTGTACACCTGAAACAAATATAATGTTCAATGTCAACCGTAACTGAAAATATTTTTAATAAATATATAAATAAATTTTTTAAAAGACCACAATGATACTGATTTTTTAAAAATTTTTTAAAGTTTTTGGGTTTTTTAAAAATTGATTTGTAGGGACAGAGAGAGAAACATCAATGTGAGAGCAGAACATTGATTGGCTGCCTCCTGCACGCCCCCTACCGGGCATGAAGCCTGTAATCCAGGCATGTGCGCCGGCTGGGAATCGAACCAGCGACCTTTCGGTGCACAGGAAGACGCCCAAACAACTGAGTCACACCAGCCAGGGCAATATTGATATTTTTTAAACAACAATAACGACCAAAAAGCCACCACCTTAGTTGCTGGGCTGATCCAGGGCGGCCCCCATAGCAAGGCCCCACTGACTTGGGTGGGAGCTGGATTCTGAGGGTTAGCTTGGGTTCGTTTCCTGCACTTCCAGCCACCAGCTCACTCACCATGGTAACGTGCAGGCCTCTTTTCGGAAAAGCTCTTTTCTCCTTGCTTAAAGCCATTCAAAGGAAGAGCTCTCCAAGTCGATCAATTAAAAGACACTTATTAAATACCCTGTCAAAGGGTTAAAACGTCGCTAACAGGGAGCTGCTAAAAGCGTAGATGGGGAGTCATGCTTCCCTGAGACACACTGGAAATTAGGTGGAACACGTAGCTGGAAGTAGAAGGGACAGGAAAGATCAGCCCGTCCCCCCCAGGAGCCAGGACAGGAAGGCTCAGGCTGGGGGGGATGGCGCACATGCTTGCGTGTGGCACCCTGACTCACTCTCGCTGCTTTACACTCACCCTCCGCCAGCCCTGGCTAAGGGGGTATTTTTTGTACTCATTAAAGGAAAGAACATTGGAGGCTTTTAAAATAAAGTGCCCTGTGATTTTCAAAATCATAAAGGTTTCCAGCAGATTGAAAACGTTCCCCTGGCTATAACAAGGAGGGGAAAAGAAGGGAAACCTTTGGAAAGATCAAGGTTATCAGGCCTGTATGGATGCTGAGATTTTGTTTGTTTTACTAATTTTCCCCAAGTAGGATCTGCCACTTCGTTGCTCTCATTTCCAGTCCTATATTTTGCAGCGGCCCCCCGATGGCGGTTTGGAAACGAAGCGAATTCAATTCAGAGCCACGCTGTCCCCTAAAGTGCCAGTGTTGTCCCACTTGACGGTGAGGCCCTTAGGAGATGGAGAGCATGAATCTGCCTGAGACTACAACTTACAGAACTAAACAAAATAAATTCTTCCCAAGCTTAACTGCCCCTGATCGGAAGGAATAAAAAAGTTTGAGGAGGGACGGTTCTTAATCCTAGGATCCCGGGCCTGTGAAAGAAAGCTTGGCTGGAGAGATAGGATCCTTGCTTTCTTACTAATTATAAAAGCATCTATTATGACAGTTCCTGATTGTAGAGACATGGCCATTTTATAGGGCAAATTATGTCCACTTAAGGGTGACGACAGTCAGTCCAATCTAACAGCTTAATCTGGCGTTACTCACCCCACGTGCCCACAGCCCAGCCCCGAAACAGACCGGGCCGTCCCACTTACTCACCCAGACCACCTTGACAAATGTCTGTGCGTGTGGCTCCACCAATGATGAACTGAGGGCTGGGACACAATTCCTGAAAGCAATTCGGGACAAAGCACAAGTCATAAGACACCCAGTGATGGTGGCAACAAGGGTAAAGTCGAGAGTCACTGAATTCAGACCTCAAAGCAACCTAGGAGGCTATCTACTGTGTGTCCCTTATTTTACTGCCGAAAACTCTCCTCTCTCTGCTCCTGGGTCTTTGCTCCCTCTCGACTTTCTCTTCACTTCTCTGAACACCTCCTCTCAATCCCCTTCGAGGGTTCCTCTGCTCCGCTCACCCCCAAGCACCAGGGAACTCCTGGGCCAGGTCCTCAGCCCCCTGCAGGGACCCCATGTCACAGGGCAATAGCCTGCCTGGAGCGTTCTCTCTCGGTGACATCACCCAAACCCATGGGTTTGACTCCTACGAAATACGCTGACACTTCTCAGATTGCTGCCCTGAGCTGGATGTCACGCTCTTCGTACGATACAAGCTCATTCATCTCGTAGCCAATAAGTCTACCAAGTTCTGCTAAAATGTGGAGTTTGGTTTGGAAGACAGGGTGGCCTGCAAAGGCCGGAAACAGGTTCAAGTGTTCTAACCAGAACGGTGCACATTCAGGTGGCCCAGGGGTGCCCCGCGGCTTCCTCACCATCACCATGGAGACGGCCACACACGCCTAGCCCGGCCCCCCCGTCCCTCTCGGATCTGCCCCATTCGACATCTGCAGCCTCATGTCCCCGTCTCCCAGTGGCCTCTGCCCTTCTCTGAAGACTCTTGCTCTAAACTCACTTTCGCAGCCCAGGCCCTTTGCTCACGCCTGTGCCTTCCTGGGCTCGGCCATGACCCTCTCCTTCCACCTACCCCAGCTCCGATGTCTGTCTGCGGTAACGAACCTGCCCCAACCACCTTCCCAACAGTGCAGAGCCAACACCTGACACAAACAGAGGCCTAAAAAAACACACACCAAAACTGTCCACTGAAATGAAATGTCACTGTCACCTCTTGAGGTTAGAATATCAAACCAGGGCTCCTAACCTTGATTTTTGCCAACATCCCAAAGACGCCATATGTGTCAAGAGGGGCGGGAGGGTGGCCCTGGGTGGGCAGGAGGGAGGCAGGCGGAGGAGTTACTCACAGGGGTAGAAACTGTTGAGCCAAAATTGATAGAATAAAACTAAAGGGATACAGGCAGCTGGAGTTAAATGAGGATTTGACTATATTCAAAGAATTTTCTTATCCTTCCCGTGTCAACCACGGCCAAGAAAATAGGTACCATGACTTGATTTTCCCACCATGGTCTAGAAGGGAAGACATTCCCTGGTGTGTTTTCTTAGGAGGCTTTTTAATTGGCAGACACTGAATAGATTGTCTCAGTTCTCACCACCACCCCTCGGAGGGGGCTCCTGTCCTTGAGGTTAAATTACTTGACGAGGGTCACACAGAGGTGGGTGATGGACATAGGTTTTGGGAGGATGGTTCTCCACTCTCTGCCTTTGAATTTGGGGTGGTGGCAGTGACACCCAGGGGCCCCTGAGTTCCATCTGCATTCACAGACCCACAGCCCCCACCTCTCCACTCGCCAGCCCTGATGGGACAGTGACACAGTTCACGACCTTAAGCAACCCTGCGGCTTTCGACAACGGTGTCACCACTCACCCCTTACCAATGAGGGCATCGCCTTGCCTTGCTCCACTGTGCACTGGCGCAGGGGCCCATGCAATAACTACCATGTAGTCTGTGCCCGTGACGGGCACCATGCTCTGAGCTTTATCTCTAGCACTCCTACCAGCCCTGAGAATTAGGTGCCAGCAGCACGATTTTACAGATGAGAAAACTGAGGCTCACAGAAGTTATCTGTCCAAGACCACACAGGCAGAGCCAGGATTCAAATCCAACTTGTCTGATCCCAAAGCCCATGCATGCTCTTCCCTCTAATCTCACCACCTCTGAAAAAGACTTTTAAAGGGAGAGAGCTGTTCCAAAATATGGGACCTAGGAATTTAGGGTCCAGAGCCACGCCTTCTCCCTCAACTACTTCTCACCAGCAGCGAGGGCCCTCCATCCCATCTGACGCTTTACAACAAGCCCATCTCCTTACCATGGGCCGCTTCCAGACAATGCCTTGAGTTTGGGGAGAGCATGGTCCAAGATCCTTGTAGCCCAAGGCCGATGGGCACGCTGGGAACTCTGGGTCCTTAAATAGGACCCCTGAGTCCAAACACTGCTGCCTTAGGGTCTCAAAGTCCTGGCCCAAGTACTTCACGACCTTCTGGTTGGAGCCAAGACCTTCAGCTGCTGCCCTCTGCTTGGACACTCGCGCTGCCAGGGCTGCCATGGCCATGGTTGGCTCCGTGGGTGGCTTCGTGGGGAGGACAGGAGGGCAGGGCTGCTCTGTGCTCTCGGAGGCCTACCCCACTGGGAGGGGAGCTATAAGGCAGCCGGGAGGGGAGGTGGAGAAGGGAAACATTTCACCCGAGGCCCTGCTCTGGAGGGAAGTGAGTCATGGCCAAGAGCAAATAGTATCCAAGGTGCAAATGAATATGCTCCGCCTTCCCTGTCTGCCTTTCAGATGGCAGTTTGGAGGCCTGGAAACTTCCAGAGCCCCTCCCAGGCCATTAACCTAAGAAATTCATTAGGATCTCAGCTGTCCCCCACCTCTTTGCCAGACCTGCTGGCCTCCCTTTGGCCCCCAAGGGCTGAGATGAGAAGCTGTCTTGCAGCTTGAGGCTGGGATTCACCAGGGCTTTGGAGAAGTGGTTCTGAGCAGGTTGGGGACTGGGGGGGCAAGGGGTTCAGTGGGTCTCCTTTCTTTCCAGAAAAATTTGGTTCTATATTTGCTGGGTGGATAAAAATATCAGAAAAGGGTGATTCACGGAGCAGATCAGAGTCAGCCCAACTGGACGTTGTTCCAACTCTGCGTGAGGTTTTGACCTCTGGCTGCCTGGGTTTCTCTCCCAGCTCCACGAGTAATTAGCTCCATCCCCTTCGGCAAAGCTATTTAACCTCTCTTCCCCTTAATTTTCTCATCTGTAAAATGGGAGGTAATGGCAGCACCCACCTCCTGAGGTTGTTTGGAAGAGTGACGAGACAGGACATGTCATTTGCTTGGATTAGGACATAGGAAGTGCTCAGTACATGTCGGCTGTCATTCCCAGGAACCGGGGCCGGAGAGGAGGCCTGAGAATCAGGGCTCTTAGGTTCTCATCTCGGAAGTGAATTATGGGCTCTGTGACCTCGTATTGATCCCTTTTCTCGGGGCTCCAACCTCCTAGGCCTGGTCTACCCCAAGGACATGGGCCACATCGGTGATTTGTGAACCTTAGCATGTGGCAACCTGGAAAAGGGTCCATCTGCCAGAGATCATGAGTCCCAATCTCTTCAACCTGTGAAGAATGCTTCGTTTGGAAAAAGAATCTTTGCAGATATGATTACGTTAAGGGTCTTGAAAGGGGGAGACGATCGTGGCCCTAAATGCATCACTAATCTCATAGGACAGGGGCGCAGGGACATCTGACGACAGACTGAAAAGGCAAAAGTGCACTCTGCCGCAAATGCTCTCCTCCCCACCCCCACCCATCCTTCAGACCCTGAGTGCCCTGGGAAGGCTTTCTGAGCCCCCTATATGAAGCCATCCCCCTCCTACATGCTCTCAGAGCAACAATTTAAGCAATGTCCCCCCACCCCACTAGCCTCTGAGCTCCACAAGGACACTTGTCTGTGTCTGTTTTGCTCATCACTGTGTTGCCAAAGCCTAGAAAGTTCCAGGTATGTAGTAGGAACTAAATTAATATTTGTTGAATGAATGGACGCCCATGGGTATGAGATACCCAGCAGCTGGATATAAGCACACCAGGTAAATGCACTTGGCACAGCCAGGCAGGGTCATTAATGAATTGGCAAAGATCTCATGGGATGTTTTCCCTGCCTCCGTTTCTCCCCTATGCCTCCCTGGAACATTCCCTGAGACTGAAGTGAACCAGCCCCTCCTCCATCCAACCTCAGAGGGACTCCCCTGGGATTGGATCTCCTTCCCACCCCACCTGCCGAAATTACCTGGCTCGTCCCATCCAGCTGCCGCACAAGCCCTTCCTCATCTCGGCAGCTAGGCCTGAGCCCACTTACGGAGTCGTGAAGAGCAAAGCCAGTGGAGTCAGGACCAGTCTGTCCTCCCCAGACCCCTCCTGAGCAGAGGCAAGCATCTCCCTGTCACCCAGCCGGGCACCCAGGAGGAAGCAGCCTGCGCCCACTGGCTCCACCAACCTGGGCAGGTGTCACCCCAGCCTCACGCCCCAAACACCCATAGAGCCAATGCCAGCTCCCTTCCAGGAGGCCCAGGATCCATGATAAAGGCTTATGAGGCTGGGCAGAAACATGCCCAGGGGCAACTAACTACATAAAAAATAATTCTCTGGCAAACAGTGCAGGTGACGGTGGCTCTCTGCAGGGTGTCCACCAGCTGAGCTTCATCCGCTCCCTGACACCTGACGCACAGTAGATGTTCATGTCTGATGAATGAATAACTGGCTAAACGTACAAGTTAGAGTCAAGCTTTGTATCTTGCCTCCTTGGATTGGCAAGAGACAGAGTATAATTAAGCCCAGGGTGGGGATAACTATAAGAATTGAAGTGCAAGTGCATCCTGGTGGTTCTTGTTTCATGCTCGATTCTCTGAAAAGGTTTGCAAATAGGACTTAAACCAAGGCCGGAGGAGGGCTCAGAAAAGAACTGAGAGTATCTAAGAGAAAAGTAATTTAGAGGCAGCCAATAAGAGCCCTAGACCAAGAGCCAGTAGACCTGAATTCCAGCCCCTGTTCTGTCCCATCCTGCTGGTCACCTGAAGAGGTCCCTTTTCTCCCAGCTCTTCCTTTGCTCATCTGACACAAGAGGACATGGGAGGCCCAAAAAACAGCCTCAACTAAGATACACTTGTCTGGAGGTGACGGGCTCCTGGGCAAGTTGCATGCAGCCATCTGCCCTGGAGCTGGGCGAAGGCCCCCCCCCCAAAAAGTGAGGGGCGCTCCTTTGTGGTAACCAGGACCAAGAGCGCCAGAGAGAGCAGCAGCCAGAGGTAAGGAATTTTTAATGGTCTCAAAGCCAAGAGGATCTGGCTCCAGTAGCTGGTGGTCTCTGCTGCCCCCTAGGGCCCTGTTTCACCCCAACAGGCCTGTGGATTCTTTGCATTTTGACTTCTCCCTCTGACCAAGACCCCCTCCTCCCCCTTCCATTCACAGATGCTGGTCCCTAATAAATACTCTGCACGTCAAACTTCATCTCAGCTTCTACATCCAGGGAACCCAGCTGCCAACAGTTGCTTAGTTTGTGAAAGTAAACATTTTGATGGCCTCATATATGAATTTGCAGAAAAGTGAGCCAGGAAACTCTTATCATCATTCATGATATCAAATTAATAAATATTGTTGTTCACTGTTACACAAAATTACGACACTAAAAACAGTATATTTTTGCAGTTCAAAAGTTTATGTTGTTTCTTGTGTAGCACTATTTCCCTTATTGCATTTTATAAGAAAAAATATTTTCAAAGGAATAAAGCTTTATCATTCATGGCACTTTTTCCCAGGGTTTTGATGACTGTGGCCACATTTTCATTTTGCACTGAACCCTGAAATCCTGTAGCTGGCCCTGGGGGTAGGATCGTGAGCCACTAACTTGGTTGTCCCATACGAGTTAGAAGAGAGGAGTACTATTTTAAACTCTTATCGGTTATTTATACCTTAATATGAATGCATTTTAGATCCTCTTATGAAAGAAGGTTTTAAAGGTGTATCAGGAGAGATTCTGGGAGCACCTCAAACATGGAAAACAGAGAGAAGATGGGGGGGGGGTGAATGGGAGACCAGAGGCCTAAAGACAAACTCCAAGTTGTGTCCAAAGTTAGCCTTTGTTAGAATCCTGTTCCTGACACTGATGTGAGCAGTGCAGCCAGCCCAGCCAATAAAAACTACAAATTAGATGTCATTTATTTGAATCATAAAAATAAAATAAAAATCCCCTTGCCACCAAAGTACACTGAAACCACGTACAAAACTGACTGAATGATCGGGAGCATCCTTCAACCTCTTGTTTAAGTCTGGCTTTGAATGGCCGGGCTCCAGAGGTTTGCCACTGCTTTTTATTACTGGGGTCCTTCAGAGGGATATTAGTTTCTCAGAGTTCTAAGGAGAGAAAGTATCTGGAGTTAATTAAAACGTGCCGATATTGTCATTTTCCACGTGGGGTGGAAGGAACTAATGTGTAGTTGGGTTATCAGCAAAAGGCTAGTAAAAATGCATCGCTGGTAAATTGAATGCACACCTCCTGGGAGAATATCAAAATTCAACTGTGTTTTTTTGTGTGTGTTTTTTTACATTCTGTTACGTGTATATTTGATATGTCTGTTTGCATGGCCACTTTGTGCAAAAGTGAGGTCCTGTTAATAACCCTCTAGCTAAAGGTAGCAGAAAAAAACCCCAACCAGCCTTATTCTAAACGGATTTCAGGCTCAGACTCCTGGAAAGGGGAAAAGAGAAATAACCCAAGAAATTTTGCCCTTAGTATTTTGAGCATATAATACTCAACTAAGACCAAAACAACAACAACAACAAACTATAAACAAATATTGAACATTGGTGAGTAGCTTTCACTTTCACAGTGAATGGGTTAGCAATTCAGAACTACTTTCCATGAATTCTTGGATGAAGCAAATGGAGAAATATATGAAGAATTCTGAGGCCTCGTTTCTCCCGGTTGGAAAAGGGAGCTACAGATACGGAAAGAGGGGACTTGAAAACGAACCACGTGGCGCTGCTTTGGAATTGAAGCCCGAATATCATTTCTCCTAATGTAAGACTTTATCTCATGTATTCGCTTTCCTAAAGTGAGTGTGACTTTATTTATCTATTTTTTTAATGACTTACTTACCCAACTGAGAGAGAACCAGTGGGATGGTAAAGCTGGTGAAGAGAGAATTTAAGAGATTAAATATTGTAGGCACTGAATAAAGAATGTTAGGATTTCTGGATTATATTAAAAAAACGGTTAATGTCATACAGGTAATACAACTGTAACCTTTACGGATGGGGTTTTTTGGGTTTGATTGGTTTGGTTTGGGGATTTAGTTTTTGCTGTTTTATTTTTCCCCCTGAAAAATATAATTTGCACACGTTTTTAAATATAAATGCGCACATCAGCATGGAGCCCTGCAGAGTCTGGGCCTGGTGCAGCGGAGGGTAAGGAGTCAAAGGCATGTCCCCCTGCGGCCTAATGAAATCCTGGGGGGCTTGTCGGCTGGAGCGTGGACAGTGTTCTCTGCAGAGGGGACAGATGCTGTCTGCCACCAGGGTCTGAAATCTTGGCACTTCTGTGGCAACGAGCACCTAGGTCTTGGTTTCCAAATACCATTCTCCGCAAGAAGGAACCAAGGCTCTTGGAAGAAAGGGCCTTTTTTTAAAATTTTTTTTTAGAAAGGGCCTTTTGAAGAAAAGGTTTCCTTTGTCTCAGCTAAATGGGGTTTTCCTTGCTCCAACAATATTACATTTGGCCATGTGGTGGCACCAAGGCGACACCAAAGACGCCTCTGGAGGCGCCATTTCCCACCTTCTGCCTGGGTGTGACATCACCCCCATGGCTCACACATTGTCACTATGGTGTCAAGACTTGACTCTAGACTCATGGCTGTTGTTCAGGAAACTTCGGTGATCTTCACGACTGAGGCTCTAAGAAATCACCCAGCTCCACGAGAGGGAGGAGAGGATCGCTCTCTCTCCGGGGAGGGGAGCCTGTGGGCCTGCTGGTCCAAGAGCATTGTCACCTTTCCTCTGGAGCCCAGCTCACCAGGGCCCCACCCTGGGGAGGGACCTTCTGATTCTCTTGTAAAGACGGACGGCGCTCCCCGCCCTGCTCTAAACAATCCTGGCAGATGTTAAATCTGGGCCCCTCACAACTCTCCATACAGGGGGCCCCTTGTATGAGGTCCCCCAGCCCGTATCAGTGACACGCACCGTGAAGACACCAGCAAGCTTTGCCCTGGGCGGGCTTTGTGGCTATGATCCCTCATCCGATAAACCTGTACCAAGGGCCCTCCAGGGGCAGGGACTGTGCCAGGATCACTAAGTGAGTAAGAGAGACAGCCCCTTTGAGTAACTTCCAGGCCAGCAGGTATCAGACACAGACACAGCTCTACCGCCTGGTCGTGAGCGCTGTAACAGAAGTTAGGTAAAAAATACTAAGGTGATAACTCTAAATATTCACTATGGTGCTTTTCCATGCATATCCAAGTGCATATCGCAGAATGTTCATCAGAGAGCATTATGTCTTGTGTTCTTGGTGTGACTTGCATTTTTGACCAGTCCCTAGGTTCCTGGGGTGGAAAGAAATTCCTCCCAGACACTCCCTTCTGAGTATGAGTCAGGAAGCCCAGGCCTCCCCAGCATAACCCGGCCCGAGCAGTGACTGGGCCCACAGCACGGTCAGCACCCCGGCAGAGGCCAGGGATCAGGCATCGGGATGGGCCCCCCTCTCTGTGAGTCTGTGGCCCCATGCGGGCTCCGGCCTCCCCGTGGCCGTTGACCTTCAGCTGTCACAGTCCTCCTGGGCCTCACCTCCTGACCCTCAGCGGGCAGACAAGAGGAGGCGGTCCTGCCTCCCTCCTTCACCCTGAGCCTGTTGCTTCTGTGATTCTCATTCTTGCCGTGAAGAGCTGAAGAACCTCCGAGCTCTGAGTCAGACACTGGGTGGCCACATCCCTAAGAGGTGACTCAGACCCAGACTCTGCTCTGAGGCCCCTTTGGTCACATTCCCTTATTTGGACCTGGCAGGATCTCTGAGCCCTCTCTCAGGGGCCCCTGGGCAGAGCCTCTCTCTGGAAGGATGGGGCCGTGGTGCTGGACACTCAGACAGGTGACAGCCTGGGGTGGGCTCTGCAGCTGACCTGCTCATCCTCAGAGGGGCCGATGCAAAGGAACATCTTTCCCAGCTTTAAGTTATGGAGATTTAAGTTATAAATCATCTGGACAACAGCTTGGGTACCATTAGGCATCACTAGCTGTGTCTGCAAGCCCAAATCAACATTCTAAAAAATAAATATATTTAAGTCCACAGAAAAGTCTCCTCTGTATTTATATTGAGAAGAGAAAATAAATAAATTAATTAAAAATCAAAACCAACCTCCCAGTGGAGGAAGAAGCCAGTGGAAATGTCCTGGCTGCTCTACCCCAAGCACCCGCTGCATTTACAGATGGCCCTGCCATCGGAAGGTAGCAGCAGGGAAGGTGCTGAACCAGGCAGGTTTGAGGCAGAAAAAGCTCGAACAACCTACACAAAGGTACAGGCAGAGAAGGGAGAGCTGGTGACACAGACTGAGAAAGAGCAGGCAGGAACTGGAGGGAAAAAAACCCGCGTAGGCAAAAGGCGCCCTGGCCAGTGTGGCCCAGCTGGTTGGGCATCACCCCGGGCACCAAGAGGTCGCCGGTTCGATCCCCGGTCAGGGCACATGCCCAGGTTTCAGGCTTGATCCCCAGTAGGAGGCCTGCAGGAGGCAGCTAATCAATGTCTCTCTCTCTCTCTTTCTCTCCCCCTTCTTCTCTCTAAAATCAATAAATATAGAATGCTATTAGTCGATGTTACCCTAATAAATTTAATTTTTAAAATACTGTCTTAAAAGGGTAAATGACCCTCATACAAATATAAAATGAACACGTCAAAGATTTTATTTAATTCATTAATGGATGAGAGAACCAGTCGGTGTTTTTAAAAAACAATAATAATTCTTCAAAGGAGAATCTAAAAAAAACAGTCAATTAGAAATGCAGAACTGAAATTTGTTAATAGATGCAAAACTGAGAGAGGCTGATTACACTAGCACCAGACAAAATTCATTTGCATATGTGTAGAAAAGGCTTATTTGCATTACTATCAATTTTCTGCAACTTGCAGAGCTTGAAGACTGTGAAAGGCACAGACCATTACAGACCTGATCCCCCACCAACCCCCACACATGTCACCCAGCATTCCATAGGACACCCCGGAATATATACATATTTTAATTCCAAAGATTTTTGGAGAAAAATCCTGAATATCAAATCTTAAGCGAGCCTTCAAGATCAACTTAAATGCTACTTTCTCCACAGAGCATTACCTGGGCTTCCTTCCTCAGGCTAAAAGATAATTTTCCAAAAAGGTAAAATTACAACTCTTATAGAGATATAAAATGAATGCATTTTCAAGACTTCATTTAACTCATTAATTAAATGAGCCAATTAAGCAGATGTGATAACTGCTCCAAAGGAGAGATCAAAGAAGCACACATTTATATGAAGTAAAGAATATTGAAATTAATGTGCAAAAGGACTCATCTGCCTTCTTCATGGGGGTGAGGGGTCCCTCCACTGGACAGAATTAATTTGCATAATCCATAGAAAATTCTTTTGCATTGCTACAGTAACCTGCAACTTAAGGTTGTAAAATAACTCAAAAGCAATGAAAGGCTGGAATCAGATAAGCCTCAGCATTATTGACATTTTGGAGCAGACAGTTCTTTGTTATGGGGAGGTGTCCCGGGCATTATAAGATGTTTAGCAGCATCCCTGGCTTCTAGAGGCTTGTAGCAACCCGCAGTCATGACAATAAAAAATGTCTCCAGCCCGGCGAGGCATGGCTCAGCGGTTGAGCATCGTCAAAACACAAATTCTTCCATATTAGTGTAGGGAAGGAGAGGAGGAGTGCGCTCTTGGGCACACATCCATTTCTCTTGTGCATGAGCTGAGAATCTCATGGTATTGTAACCAGAACCCAAGTTCTTGCTGCCTGCTGCCACGAAAATCAAACTCATGAGACACAGGCTGGTGAAAAAAGGAAAGAGGTTTATTCAAGTGCTGGCACCTCGAGAAGATGGGGCACTCTTGTCCCAAAGCCCATCTGAACATCTCAGTGCAGGCAGAGGCTTTTATAAGGAGAGAGAGGGAAAGCAGAACAAAGAAATCAAGGGAAGTAGGTTGAAAGATTCTCTATGTGCAGTCCAGCAGAGTCCATTCCAACATGGATCTCAAAACAGGTCAAGTGATGGTCTGGCATTGGGTCTTCCTGGTCTTCGTGATACCGGCTGAAGGTCTTCTATAGTTGAAGGTCAGCACATGTCCCGAAACTAGGATGACTGAAGGTTGGAGTCTGTATCTTCTCAAGTTAGTTCCTACGATTCTTATACAAACATGCTGTTTATCTACAAACTACATATTAGCCAGAGTCAGCATTTACAGAAACAATGTCAAAAGAATGGTGGGGTGAGTTACAACTTCCCACTGTTACAGTATCTCCCAACAGAACGCTCACAGTGTCCTGACCACGGCANAGTTACAACTTCCCACTGTTACAATATCTCCCAACAGAACGCTCACAGTGTCCTGACCACGGCACTGTTCTAAATACTCTACCAATATTAACTCAATCTTCCCAGTTAAATGTGAGTTCCGGATAAACAGCGAATGATCTTTTAGTATAAATTTCCCCTCTTGCAGTATTTGGAGCATCTGCTTGAAGGGGTTCAAAACCTCCGTGGGTTGTGCTATTCTGGCATGTGAATCACTTTGAGCTGAAGGCAATGGGCTCTTGAGTAATGCTTACCTCTCCCTTAAAGAATTTTAGTTAGGGAGGGGCCTTGCCCATAATAAGAGATTATCTGAGATAGCCTTTTTGACCTATCTATCGGGCAGGGCAAACTAATTACTCAACATCTGCTCTCCCCGAGAATGACCTCCCTCCCCTCTGAAGCCCCAGGCCCCTTGCCTCATCCTTAGCTCAGGATGCCGTATCTGCCATTTTCCCTGTCTGTCCCGAACCTCTCACGTGTGTGGGGTTCCTGTATCCATGTATGTCGTTAAATTTGGCTATTTCTCTTGCTCATCTGTCTCATGTCGATTTAATTATTAGACCAGCGGGAGAATACATAAAGGTAGAGGAAAGTTTCTTCTCCCCCCGCCCCCCCCCACACACTTACACTAAAAAGTTATTGGTATCTATTTGAAATTCAGATTTAACTGGGAGAACGTACTTTTATTTTATTTATTTTACTTGCCAGATCCGTCGACCCTGTGATAAGTAGCTGACCGGCAGCAGGGTAGCGTCGTGGCTATCACGGGCCTTGTGGCTTCAACCTGTGACTTCTGCCTGTGACTAGCTGGATGAGGCTGAATAATGTCACTGAACCTCTCCGATGCTCGGTGGTAGCATCTGTAAAATGGGGACAATCGCAGGACAACCCTCTGACCCAGCTGCCCGGGGTGGGGGGT